CGCGGTTCTCCCCTGTTCCAACCCTCAGTTCAAAACCTCCACGACCCCAAACCCAAAATAACCACAATCCCCACAAAAACCGCCAACCCCTTCCTCCAACTCCAAACCCCTGCTCCCTTAGCAACCACAGCCCACACCCCACCGGCCAAAAGAACCCCATCACCGAACCCCACAGCATGTCATCCAGCGGTCCTGCTGCCCCCGACGTTGTCCCGACCCCATAATTCGCAATCCCCGCATCACCACTGCCACTGGCCCCACCTGTCCCCATGCCGCTGCCGCCCATCTCCATCGAGCCCGCAGAAGCCCCCTCGTCCATCCATATATCTTCAAGGCGTCGCAGCTCCGCGCCGGACGGCATTGTATCCGGCGTATACGAGAGGGACTGGAGGGCGAGGAACTGCGAGCGCAGTGCAGACACTTCGGCAGATGTGAAGCCTGCTTCTAACAAGCGGTCGAAGCCTCTGGGACCAGTGGGGGTAGGTGATGGACGGGTGGAGGTGGATGCTGATTGGGCGTGCTGCTGGCCGTGGCCATGGTGTGTAGAAGTGGAAGTGGAAATGGTACCACGCGGTGCGGTAGCAAAAGCATCTAAGGACGATGACGAGGAGGAGGATTGTGGTGGGTTGTTGAGAGAAGAAGAAGAAGAAGGGATAAGCAGAGAGGAGGACTTGCTATCCACCACTGGCCGCTTGGTCCCTTCCCAGCCCTCTGTATCATCTTCTTCCGCCGCACGTGCAAGCCGCGCCTCCACCTCTAACTCTGCTGCGGAGAGGATGATATCTCCGATCGAGCAGTGAATGTACGTCCGTAGCTGTGGTGTGGGCGGATCACGCACGGGTGCTTTGCCTTTGTCTTTCACATTCCTATTCCCAGCACCGACCAAATAGGAGTAATCCGGCAACGGGGATGAGGTCTTATGGTTATTATGTCCGATCCCAGGTATGGTAGAGGCGATTTTTAGACTGGAGGCGAGAGGAGAGGTATCATTGAGGGCCTTGCCAGCATATATGAGGCGGAGACGGTGTGTGGAGAGGTCCTGTGGGAGATGTTGGCGGATGAGTTGTTTGAGGCCCGCGGCTGTCAGGAGGGTTGGGTCAGGGATTTCGAGGAGGACATCTGGGATTGAGGCAGAAAAACGGATCGTGAGGAGGAGGGTGAGGTCGGGGGGGAGGTGTTCTGTCATAGTTGCTTTGCTGGAGATGTTCTTCATTTACTTGTGTAGATTGGATTTTGTGATGCATTTTCTATCCATGGATGTTGGTTGGAGCCCGCAAAATGAAGCACGTGATTCTTAGTACCGTG